CCCCCTCCCCCCCAGCCCCCCGCAAGGTTTCAAGAGGATTTTTGCCATTGACTTCAATGGCCCCATTGGTTACAATGGACCCGAATTTTTCGGGATTCCCGAAAATTTTCGGATATCTATGCTTTACCGGTATAGATATTCGGGTTTTTTCGGGTTTCCCGAAAAAATTCGGGTCCAATAAACCCGAATCCGAATTTTACCGAAATTTTTTTTTTTGCACATCCCTAGTTCTTATTGCCTTGTTTTTAATTGCATAATCCACTTTGATTCTCAGCAAGAGAGGCGGACTATCATTTGAAGCCAGCAAGCAACTAAAAACATGCTTCCATCTAGAGACTTAGGACAGCAGAAGGAATATCTTGATTCTGAAGTTTCCCTTGTTTAAGGTAACCTGCCTGGCATTTTATATACTGTGCTCCCAGCCATACAAAACGGGTGCTGAACTGCAGGCTGTGGAAGGTCAGTAGTTCAGCAGTTCGAGACCCGAGTGTGCCGCATGACGGAGTGGGCTCCCGTCTCTCGTTCCAGCTCCTGCCAACCTAGCAGTTCGAAAGCAAGAAATTGCAAGTAGATAAATAGGTACCACTTCAGTGGGAAGGTAACAGCGTTCTGTGCGCCTTGGCGTTTAGTCATGCCGGCCACATGACCACGGAAACGTCTTCGGACAGCGCTGGCTCTTCGGCTTTGAAACGGAGATGAGCACCGCAACCATAGAGTCGGACTCGACTGGCTTTCGAGCAAGGGAACCTTTACCTTTAATGTGGCGAGGGCAGGAGTGCCCTCTCTGGACATGATTAGGAGGCACTGCAAGGCCTTTTTATTGGCATACTGTGGACAGTTCTGGTCAAAAAGAACATCTCAGAAAAAGTACAGAGGAGGGCAACCAAGATGATCACGTGGCTGGAGCGCCTCCCCTAGGAGGAAAGGCTGAAGAGGCTGGGACTTTTCCATTTAGAAGATTATGCACAAGGTGGAGAGAGTTGACAGAGAGTGCTTTTTCCTCCCTGTCCCAAAACCCGAGAACTCAAGGGCATCCAGCAAAGCTGACAGGCAGCAGATTCAGGATGGACAAAAGGAAATACTTCTTTACACACTGAGTGATTCAAAACAAATACAAATACAATACCTTTATTGGCATAAAATATCAAATACAACGTGCAGCATAGAGCCTCAAGATAGGCCGGGGGGGCGGGGATCACATTCCGAATTGCTGAAATGCAGGCTGTGGATGGTCGGTAGTTCAGCAGTTCGAGACCCGAGTTGCCGCATGACAGAGTGAGCTCTCGTCTCTAGTTCCAGTTCCTGCCAACCTAGCAGTTCGAAAGCAAGAAATTGCAAGTAGATAAATAGGTACCACTTCAGTGGGACGGTAACAGCGCTCTGTGCGCCTTGGTGTTTAGTCATGCCGGGCACATGACCACGGAAACGTCTTCGGACAGCGCTGGCTCTTCAGCTTTGAAACGGAGATGAGCACCACAACCCTAGAGTCAGACTCGACTGGCTTTCGAGCAAGGGAACCTTTACCTTTACCTCCTAGATACCTCATAAAAGAAATTTGCTACAGGTTCAAGAATTTCTATATTATGCGAAGACAATAAAGAACTAACTTTATACTCATCAGATTGGCCCAAAAGGGGGTCCAACACAGGTTCAATATAAGCAACACGGATGTCATGGTGGAATTTACAGTACAAAAGCACATGTCCAATAGCTTCCATTTCCCCCATCCCACATGGGCACAATCTATCTTCATAGAGAATTTTCTTGAACCTTCCCCATAAAACAGCTGAGGAAAGGACGTCGAACCGAGCTCGCATGAAAGCCCTACGAAGACGGGGCTGAATTAGTCTTGCGAGATATCCTGAGGAAATGTGGCTGAAAGGGAGTCCCATACTCAAGGGAGAGCAATGTCTGTGCGCACGTCTTCTCAGACCAGATCACGCCAAGCCCTCACAATACTCTGAGTGATTCAAATGTGGAATTTACTGTCAGAGGACGTAGTGATGGCCACAGGCATAGACAGCATTAAAAGGGGATTGGATAGATTCATGGAGGAGAGGTCTATGAGTGGCTACTAGCCAAGGGGACTAAAGGGAACCTCCATATTCAGAGGTAGTCGACCTTTGAATCCCAGTGCCAGGAGGCAACAGCAGGGGAAGGCCTCGGCCTCTCTGCCCTGTTGTTGGCCCTCCAGAGGAACTGGTTGAGGCCACTGTGTGAGATGGGATGGTGGACGAGATGGACCCTCACTGGTCTGATCCAGCAGGGCTCTTCTGATGTTCTTCTGAGGGGAAGGTCTCGGCCTCGCTGCCATGTTGTTGGCCCTCCAGAGGAACTGGTTGAGGCCACTGTGTGAGAAAGGATGATGGACTAGATGGACAATTACTCTGATCCATCAGGACTCTTCTTGTGTTCTTATGAGAGGAAGGCCTCAGCCTCTATGTCATATTGTTGGCCAAGCAGAGGAACTGGCTGGCCACTGCGTGAGACAGGATGATGGACTAGACGGACCACTGGGCTGATCCAGAAGGGCTTTTCTGATGTTCTTACGAAGGCCTCGCAGCCTCTCTGCCCTCTTCTTGGTCCTCCAGAGGAATTGGGTAGCCACTGTGTGAGATGCAACATTGGACTGCAGGACTGATCCAGCAGGGCTCTCCTTAGCCAGAGCCAGTTTGATGTAGTGGTTGAGTGCGCGGACTCTAATCTGGGAGAACCGGATTTGATTCCCCACTCCTCCACTTGCACCTGCTGGATGACCTTGGGCAAGCCGTAGTTCTGATAAGAGCTGTTCTTGAAAAAGAGCAGTTTCTGTCAAGAGCTCTCTCAGCCCCACCTACCTCACAGGGTGTCTGCTGTGGGGAGGGGAAGGAGTTTGTAGGCCGCTCTGAGACACCTTTGGATAGTGAAGGGTGGGGTATAAATCCAATCGCTTCTCCTTCTTCCTATGCTCTTATTTGCTAGAATACTTAATGGGGTCTCTTCTGCAGACATTTTTTTTTGCAGAGTCGTTTGTGGTTAACTTTATGTTTTCAACGGTGATTCGTAAGCCGCCTTGAGCCAGGAGGAAAAGGTGGGTAAATATATTTCAATTTAAACTTTTGTTATTGACCTGCACAGGATGGACGGACACATGAAGCCACCTTATACCAAGTTAGACTCTCAGTTGTACCTGCATCTCATCTCCTCTGGCCGGCAGCGGCTCTTGGGCAGGAAGAAAAGCGCCATCCTCACCCCCTTCTCCCCAAGACTCTTTAACAGGAGATGCCAGGAACTGAACCAGGGGTTTTGTGCTCGGTATTCTTTGAGGTTTTTTGGGGGGGGCAACAGTGGGAGGGGCTTCTGGACTTCTGGCCCCGTTGGTGGACCTCCTGATGGCACCTGGGTTTCGACCTCTGTGTGACGCAGACTAGATGGTACATTGGCCTGATCCAACATGGCTTCCCTTACCTTATGTTCTTGGTTCTTAGGTGGCAACACTGGGAGGGCTTCTGGACTTCTGGCCGCACTGGTGGGCCTCCTGATGGCACCTGGGATTTGGCCACTGTATGACACCGAGTGTTGGACTAGATGGGACATTGGCCTGATCCAACATGGCTTCCCTTACCTTATGTTCTTGGTTCTTAGGTGGCAACATTGAGAGAGCTTCTGGAGTTCTGGCCACGCTGGTGGACCTCCTGATGGCACCTGGGATTTGGCCACTGTGTGACACCGAGTGTTGGACCGGGTGAGCTATTGGCCTGATCCAACATGGCTTCCCTCACTTTATGTTCTTGGTTCTTGGATGGCAACACTGGGAGGGCTTCTGGAGTTCTGGCCGCGCTGGTGGACCTCCTGATGATGCCTGGGATTTGGCCACTGTGTGACATGGAGTGTTGGACTGGGTGGGCTATTGGCCTGATCTAACGTGGCTTCCCTTATGTTATGTTCTTGGTTGGCAACACTGAGAGTGCTTCTGGAGTTCTGGCCACGCTGGTGGACCTCCTGATGGCACCTGGGATTTGGCCACTGTGTGACTCCAAATGTTGGACTGGGTGGGCCATTAGCCTGATCCAACATAGTGGGCCATTAGCCTGATCCAACATTAGCCTGATCCAACATAGCTGTTCTTGGGCAGCAACACTGGGAGTACTTCTGGAGTTCTGGCCCCACTGCTGGGCCTCCTGATGGCACCTGGGATTTGGCCACTGTGTGACTCCAAATGTTGGACTGGGTGGGCCATTAGCCTGATCCAACATAGTGGGCCATTAGCCTGATCCAACATTAGCCTGATCCAACATAGCTGTTCTTGGGCAGCAACACTGGGAGTACTTCTGGAGTTCTGGCCCCACTGCTGGGCCTCCTGATGGCACCTGGGATTTGGCCACTGTGTGACTCCAAATGTTGGACTGGGTGGGCCATTAGCCTGATCCAACATAGTGGGCCATTAGCCTGATCCAACATTAGCCTGATCCAACATAGCTGTTCTTGGGCAGCAACACTGGGAGTACTTCTGGAGTTCTGGCCCCACTGCTGGGCCTCCTGATGGCACCTGGGATTTGGCCACTGTGTGACTCCAAATGTTGGACTGGGTGGGCCATTAGCCTGATCCAACATAGTGGGCCATTAGCCTGATCCAACATTAGCCTGATCCAACATAGCTGTTCTTGGGCAGCAACACTGGGAGTACTTCTGGAGTTCTGGCCCCACTGCTGGGCCTCCTGATGGCACCTGGGATTTGGCCACTGTGTGACTCCAAATGTTGGACTGGGTGGGCCATTAGCCTGATCCAACATAGTGGGCCATTAGCCTGATCCAACATTAGCCTGATCCAACATAGCTGTTCTTGGGCAGCAACACTGGGAGTACTTCTGGAGTTCTGGCCCCACTGCTGGGCCTCCTGATGGCACCTGGGATTTGGCCACTGTGTGACTCCAAATGTTGGACTGGGTGGGCCATTAGCCTGATCCAACATAGTGGGCCATTAGCCTGATCCAACATTAGCCTGATCCAACATAGCTGTTCTTGGGCAGCAACACTGGGAGTACTTCTGGAGTTCTGGCCCCACTGCTGGGCCTCCTGATGGCACCTGGGATTTGGCCACTGTGTGACTCCAAATGTTGGACTGGGTGGGCCATTAGCCTGATCCAACATAGTGGGCCATTAGCCTGATCCAACATTAGCCTGATCCAACATAGCTGTTCTTGGGCAGCAACACTGGGAGTACTTCTGGAGTTCTGGCCCCACTGCTGGGCCTCCTGATGGCACCTGGGATTTGGCCACTGTGTGACACCGAGTGTTGGACCAGGTGGGCCATTGGCCTGATCCAACATGGCTGCCCTTATGTTATGATCTTGGGCGGCAACACTGAGAGGGCTTCTGGAGTTCTGGCCGCGCTGGTGGACCTCCTGATGGCACCTGGGATTTGGCCACTGTGTGACACCGAGTGTTGGACTAGATGGTACATTGGCCTGATCCAACATGGCTTCCCTTACCTTATGTTCTTGGTTCTTAGGTAGCAATACTGGGAGAGCTTCTGGAGTTCTGGCCGCGCTGGTGGACCTCCTGATGGCACCTGGGATTTGGCCACTGTGTGACACGGAGTGTTGGACCGGGTGGGCTATTGGCCGGATCTAACATGGCTTCCCTTAAGTTATGTTCTTGGGCGGCAACACTGGGAGGGCTTCTGGAGTTCCGGCCGCCCTGGTGGACCTCCTGATGGTGCCTGGGTTTTGGCCACTGTGTGACACGGAGTGTTGGACCGGGTGGGCCATTGCCTGATCCTGGCTTCTCATGTTCTTAAAGCAGGTGTTTCGTCGCTGAGCTGTGCAGATCAGAGAGGCGTTGCTTCCTTACCACCCTGGAGCCCCAGCAACCGCACCCTCCTTCTTAAGGCTCTCGTGGTGCCATGTCTCCCTTCAGATCCCTCCTACCGAACCTTCTTTTTCTATGTAACCTTTCGACACAACCCTTTGCCCCTCGTTCTCAATTGAAACACAGACCAAGCACGTGTAGCACAAGTGATCCAAACCCACGGCGCAGCTAGAGGGCGCTCAATAAAGCTTCACCCCTTGCTGAAGCTAAGCCAGCGTGGGTGGGCTCAGCCTCTGGATGGGGGGGGGCATGGGCTCAGTGGTAGAGCATCTGCTGGGTGTGCAGGTCCCACGTTCAATCCCCACCATCTCCAGTTAAAAGGATCAGGCAGTAGGTGATGTGAAAGATGTCTGTCTGAGACCCAGGAGAGCCCCCACCAGTCTGTGTAGGGACCGTGGCTCAGGGGAAGAGCCTCTGCTTTGCAGGCAAGAGGTCCCAAGTTCAATCCCTGGCATCGCCGGTTAAAAGGACCGGATCGTTGGTGATGCGAAAGACTTCTGCATAAAACGCTGGAGAGCTGCTGCCAGTCAGAGCAGACATGGCATGATGTGGTCTACAGGTGTTTGGGGGTGGGGCCGTGACGCCGTGGCAGAGCCTCTGCTTGACATGCAGAGGGTCCCAGGTTCAATCCCCGGCATCTCCAGTTTCCAAAGACCTGGGAGTACGTCATGTGGAAGACCTCAGACTGAGACCCTGGAGAGCCGCTCCCAGTCTGAGTAGACAAAATGGACTCTGATGGATCAAATGACTGATTCAGCATAAGGAAGCTTCAGGTGTGGAGACCTCCTGGGAGGACCCTCCATATACTGCCTTGAGATTCACGACAGGTGGGGAAAGTAAAGGTTTCCCTTGCTCGAAGGCCAGTCGAGTCCGACTCTAGGGGTGCAGTGCTCATCTCCGTTTCGAAGCCAAAGAGCCGGCGCTGTCCGAATGTGGCCGGCGTGACTAGATGCCGAGGCGCACGGAACGCTGTTACCTTCCCACCGAAGCGGAACCTATTTATCTGCTTGCAATTTCTTGCTTTCGAACAGCTCGGTTGGCAGGAGCTGGGGCCGGAGACGGGAGCTCACTCCGTCACGCGGCACTCGGGCCTCGAACTACCGACCTCCCGGTCTGCAGCTCACCGTCTTAACCACTGAGCCACCGGAGCCCCGACAGGTGGGATACTGCATGTCAAATAAGTAAGAATCTGTACACCCCACCTTCTCACCGGCTCTCTTTCCCGCGGCTGAACTTTAGCCTGCAAGCTCCTTCTGGAACACCTGACTGTCTTGTTGCTTGGCAGAGCACCCACGCCCGGATGGCACCACCCGGCCAATACCGAGGCAGCAGCTCCCCACCCACCACCCACCCCTTCCAAGCTTCCAGCCCCAATTCGAGTCCCAAACATCCTGTTCAAAGCTGATCACTTGCTCCCCACCCCAGTCGTTGAGGATGGAGGAACGCTTACCTGTCTACTTTGCAGGCTTTGTACCAGCTGCCGTACTCCCCGTAGGGGGCGCTGTCCTTCTCCTTGCGCTTTTCCTGAGAGGAATACAAAGGGAAAGTGAAGGGAAAGGGGTTCAAGGGTGGTCTCGACTTGGCCCCTGGGGTTCTGTGCAAGAAGACCCCGGTTCCTGTCTCTGTCCCAAGAGGTACCTTGCTCTCCTCTCGCTCTTCGGCGTGCATCCAGATGGGCTTGTTGTCTCCTGCAGAGGAGGAGGAAGGAAATGGGGGGAAAGACACACACCTTGAGAAAACACGGTAGAGGAGAAGAAGAAGAAGAAGAAGGATTGGATTTATACCCCGCCCTTCACTACCCAAAGGTGTCTCAGAGCGGCTTACAAACTCCTTTCCCTTCCCCTCCCCACAACAGACACCCTGTGAGGTAAAAGAAGAAGAAGAGATTTGATTTATACCCCGCCCTTCACTACCCAAAGGTGTCTCAGAGCGGCTTACAAACTCCTTTCCCCTCCCCCTCCCCACAACAGACACCCTGTGAGGTAAAAGAAGAAGAGGAGATTGGATTTATACCCTGCCCTTCACTACCCAAAGGAGTCTCAGAGCGGCTTACAAACTCCTTTCCCTTCCCCTCCCCACAACAGACCCCCTGTGAGGTAGGCGGGGCTGAGAGAGCTCTTGACAGAAACTGCTCTTTTTTAAGGACAGCTCTGACAGAGCTTGCGACTGACCCAAGGTCACATCAGCAGGTGCAAGTGGAGGAGTGGGGAATCAAACCCGGTTCTCCCAGATTAGAGTCCGCACACTTAACCACTACACCAAACTGGCTCTTCAGCAGAAGAGAGAAGAGACTGGATTTATACCCCGCCCTTCACTCGGAATCTCAGAGCGGCTTACAATCTCCTTTCCCTTCCCTTCCCCTCCCCACAACAGACACCCTGGGAGGTAGGCGGGGCTGAGAGAGCTCTTTTGAGGACAGCTCTTGAGAGAACAGCTCTGACAGAACGACGGCTTGCCCAAGGTCATCCAAGCAGGGGCAAGTGGAGGAGTGGGGAATCAAACCCGGTTCTCCCAGATTCCGCACACATAACCACTACACCAAACTGGTACTGAACCTACAAAGCAGCCTTGCTGGACAGCTTCTGCCAGCCCTTCTAAACAGTCATCGTCTTCAACGTTTCCAGAGTGGGACTAACTGAGAGGTGAACACGCTGACAGGAAGTCACATGGCATCAGAAGTCATGTGACAGGAAGATGGGAAGACGGGGCTTCCATCTCCCTGGCATCGAGGCCGGGCTCACAGGCAACAAATCGGGAGAGCTAAGGGGAGGAAATGCAAGCTGAGCGTCCCTCTCCGCTGCCATCGTGCTCCTCTTCTCTGCCGGCGTACAAAGAGAGGCGAGGGGGAATGGCACCCTTGTGCAGCATGCAGTAAGTAGGCCTGACAGGCAAGGATGCAGGTCTTTTTAGGCAAATGAGGAGAACCCCAGGCCCCTCCCACCCAGACCCGTAGCTAACAACTTTTTGCTCAGGGGACCCATATTTTTCTCAGGGGGCCCACCACCAGTATGTTCCCTCTAAGCTGTGGTGTTTTGTGAGCAAAACTTCTACTTTGTGAGCTGCTGCCATTAAAGCTTCAGTGCGGCCCACAGGACAGGAATTAGGAGGGTGACGAGGCGCAGCTCCGCCAAAGGCAAGAGGCGTGGGTAGCCAGGGCATCCTCTTACCGCAGCAGCTTGCAGCAGTGGGTCGGCCTCTGCGCATCCCACGGCAGGGCTCGCCGACTCAAGCTGGCCGCTGCTGCTGCTGGAGATGTTAGCAGTGGCGTCTGCATCGGAGAACATGCTGCTCCAGCCAGCGGCGGGAACAAGCACATCTCCCATTCCAGAGGCACCCTCGCAAGGTCGCGCGGCCCTGCAAAGATGCGGGGGGGGGGCGGAGAAGGCTTTGCAAGGACCCGCGCTTCAGCGCAGCCCTGCAAAGACGTGGGAGGGCCCGCCCCTGTTGTCGTGGCGCCTTGAGCAAGAGGAAGAAGAAGGCGCCTGTCGTCAGGAGAGACGCGGGGGGGAGCAGAGGATGGGGGAGGGGGCCCGCAAAACCCACGGGGGGAGGGCGAACCCCGAGAGCCCCACGCAGGCTACGGGCCTGCCCCCACCCCCCACATCAAGCCCACTGAACGGACGGTTCATTTCAGAGAAGAGTCTAGACTTTCTCTGGAACAGGGCACAAACGCGCTTAAGAAAAGAAGCCAGTCGATCCCAAAGAAGCGGGCTTAGAAAGAAGTGCGTGCACCTATCTCTCTGGACCTGGATGGCCCAGGCTAGCCTGATCTCGTCAGATCTCGGGAACTAAGCAGGGTCTGACCCTAGTTGGTACCCGGATGGGAGACCTCCAAGGAATACCAGGTCCTGACGCGGAGTTAGGAGATGGCAAACTGCCCCTGAACGCCTCTTGCCTTGAAAACTCTCCAGGGTGGTCTTAAGTCGGCTGTGACTTGAAAGCACTTCCCACCGCTCCACCGCACCCACGTGTAAGAGCTTAATATCTAGAGCACCGGCACTTCGTATGTGACGGATTGTTTTATTCTGTTTTTAGTCCTTGAATCATGGCATAGGCCTCTTCTGTTAGCCGCCCTGAGCCCGTTTGGGGAGGGCGGGATATAAATTTAATAAATAAATAAATAAGTATATGTGTGTATGCATGTATGTAAGGTAAAGGAAAAGGTTTTCCCTGCTCAAAAGCTAGCTGAATCCGACTCCAGGGATGCGGTGCTCATCTCCGTCTCCAAGCCGAAGAGCTAGCGCTGTCCGAAGACGTTTCTGTGGTCATGTGGCCGGCATGAGTAGACGCCGAGGCGCATGGAACGCTGTTTCCTTCCCACAGACGCAGAACCTATTTATCGACTTGCAATTCCTTGCCTTTGAACCGCAAGGTTGGCAGGAGCTAGGATTGGAGATGGGAGCTCACTCCGTCACGCGGCACTCAGGTCTCAAAATGCTGAACTACCGGCTTTCCAGTCTGCAGCTCAGCATCTTAACCTCTGAGCCACTGCGGCCCCTTACGCGTGTATGTATATGCATATAGGTATGTACATGCATATATACACACACCACACTCAGAGAGAGAGAGACAGAGACAGAGAGAGAAAACAAGGAACCAAAACCTGAAGGGGAGGTTTCGAGGACATGGCCCTGTGATTCATCCTGTGTGTGTGGCAAGCAGCCAAGGAATCCAAGGTATTGCCCTGAGGCTGTCCAAGTCTCCAGTTCAGGGGGAGGCCAGGTCAGGCTGGCTCTGTGCCAGCCCATACAGCCAAGACTAGCCAAGGAGAGGGGCAGTGGCTGGGTCACGAAAGGGAATTCTTTGCCCTCCACAAGGGGAACAAGCCAGGAGAGCAGCAGCGGTGCAAGAGACCTGGCGTCGCTTCCGTCCATGCAGGCGCTGTGTGCAAAGGGGAATGGCGGTCGACTGGGCTTCTGACCTCACACTGCATCCCCCCCCCCCCCCGGTTGCCAACAATAAGCCCTGCCAGCTGCCATCCCCTGCGCCGTCCAACCCCCTTGCTCCACTGGCAAGATCTCCAGGGACAGTCAACCTCTCATCAGGGCCCATCATTCGCCAGGAAGCAGCCCTTGTCGACACTGGGTCTAATTCAGCTCCGCAGGCAAGAGAGGGAGGAGGAGGAGGAGGAAATTGGATTTATACCCTGCCCTGCACTACCCAAAGGAGTCTCAGAGCGGCTTACAATCTCCTTTCCCTTCCTCTCCCCACAATAGACACCCTGTGAGGTAGGTGGGGCTGAGAGAGCTCTTTCAAGAACTGCCCCTGAGAGAACAGCTCTGAGACAACTTGTGACCGACCCAAGGTCACCCAGCTGGCTGCATGCGGAGAAGTGGGGAATCAAATCCAGTTTTCCCAGATTAGAGTCTGCGCTCTTTACTGCTACACCAAACTGGCGAGCACAGGAGAGGGTTGGAAATCTGATGTCCAGGGCGTGAGTTCAAAACACAGGCGGGCACCAGTGCGTTATGGTTGTGCAATGCACTGTTTCCTCTGAAATATTTTGTAATAACTGCTGGATTTCGTCACATTTGCCGGGTTCTTCTTATTTGTGTATGCGTGAGGCGACTTATCGCTTTTAACTTTTTGGCCTCTTTTCCCACAACGGTTTCAAATTGTGGTGAGTCTGGAACGGGATCAGGGGAGCATCAGAACAGTCATTGTGCCATCGAGTTGCCAACCAGCTTTGGGTGACCCCGATGGGGTTTCCAAGGCAACAGGGATGCGCAGAGGTGGTTTGCTGTGGCCTGCCTCTGGTTAGCGACACGGGTGCCAGTTTGGTGCAGTGGTTAAGTGCGCGGGCTCTAATCTGGGAGAACCGGATTTGATTCCCCACTCCTCCACTTGCAGCTGCTGGATGACCTTGGGCAAGCCACAGTTCTGTCAGAGCTGTTCTCTCAAGGACAGTCCTCGAAAGAGCTCTCTCCGCCCCACCTGCCTCACAGGGTGCCTGTTGCGGGGAGGGGAGGGGAAAGGAAAGGACATTGTAAGCTGCTCTGAGACTCCGAGTAAAGGGCAGGGTATAAATCCAATCTCTTCTGAGCCCGCCCTGAGCCCGCTTTTGTGGGGAGGGCGGGCTATAAATGGAAATAAATCATCATCATCATCATCATCATCATCATTCTTGGTGGGCTCCCATCCGAGCAGCATCAGTGGCCAACCCTGCTTAGCTGTCAAGCTCTGACGAGATCAGGCTCATCAGGGCTATTCAGACCACGGGGGGTGCATGAACTGGGGGGAAAGAGAACCAAGGAGTGGCCCACCACCGGTTTCCACTCACCGTTGACCGATCCAAATTCTCTCTCGTGTGCCCGGGTCAGGATCTCCTTGTAGAGGGTCTCGGCGTCCTTGTATTTCCCTTGTTTGAGGTAGCAGGAGGCCTGTAAGGACAGGTGACACAGGGCATGGGGGGTCAGGAGGCAGCCGCCCGTCTCAAGGCCACGCTCTCCAGCTGAGAAACCCCTCCCCCGTCCGCGAGCGGTCCAGGTCCACGGAGGGGAGCGTGTTGATGCAGCGTCCTGCCTGGTTTGCTCTGCCAAACGGCGTCACCCACAAAAACTAACCGGGAAGGGAAAGTGTAAATCAACAAATGAAAAAGTGGAAACTTTCCCAAAAAAGTAACGGTATACTGGACGGTCTTTTTTTCTATGGACTGCTATTGCCCCTTGGAGGACTTGTGCTTGTGGACTATTTTGGATTGTATTACTTTAAGAATCACCATTCTGTGGTTTGTGTGACTTTTATTTATTTTATATTTATTTATTTATTTATTTTGGGATTTATATCCCGCCCCATCCAATATTCAGCTCGGGGGCGGCTTACAAAGGTTAAAATATACATACAAACAACAGCATGATAAAACAATATATCTGACATAAAATTTGGTGCTAATTGATTTACATAAAATCCAAGATGGCCAACATCCACACATTGGCGGGAGGTTGTTTACAGCAGAGGCACCAGGAAGAATGTTCCCCCAGCTCTATTGGGCGACATCTACCCCTACTATATGGGGTAGATGGTTGGAAATATCATTGATGGAACAGTGGCGGCGGGGGGGCGCCCCCGCAAGACTGGGGGGAAGGCACCCCGCTTAGCTCCGTCTTGCAGGCCCTGCGGAACTGCACTAAGTCCCGCAGGGCCCGAGTCTCTTCCGGGAGCTCATTCCACCAGGTGGGAGCCGCCACCGAGAACGCCCTAGTCCTGGTTTGGGTCAACTTCACTTTCCGGGGGCCTGGAACCTCCAGGCGATGGAGATTCCCCGATGTGCATTACATTCTTTTGAAGTGCCGTATGTGTTTACATATTCAGTATATTTAATATATTCCTATGAGTAGCATTACTTGTCTTCAAAACCTTTTTGGGAGAGTTTCCACCATTTCATTTGTAAAACAGCATCGCCCAGCTCGCGTGGAGGACCCTGGACAATTTTGGAAAGCCCAAGAACGTGTCCCAGAAGTCACTCCTCTATATTGCTGTCTCTGAAGCTGCTGGTGTTCAAACCTGACTTACTGCTAGAAGACTTGCCACTCACCTTGCTCCATCTAGCTCAACACTGCCTACAAAACTGCCCAGACCTGGATGGCCCAGGCTAGCCCGATCCCATCAGACCTTAGAAGCTAAGCAGGGTCGGCCCTGGCTAGTATCTGGAAGGGAAACCTCCAAAGAATGCCAAGAGCATGACGCAGAGGCAGGCAGTGGCAAACCACCTCTGAAACGGCTTTCGCCTTAAAAACAAGTCTAGCTCGCCACCTAGCGGTGCATATCACTAAAAAGAGCTAGAACTTCTGGCTGCCAGACAATCTTAGGATCTCCTAGGCTATTCTACACACACTGTCATATGATAATTATTATTAGTATATGAATGGGAGGCCACCAAGAAATTCAACGGCCTCTATGCAGAGGCAGGTGATGGCAAACCACCTCGGAAACATCTCTTGCTTTAAAAAAAAAAACAAGTCTAGCTCGCCACCTAGTGGTGCATAAGGCTAAAAAGAGCTAGAACTTCTGGCTGCCGGACAGTCTTAGGATCTCCTGGCTATTCTACACACAATGCCATACATTAATTAATTAATTCTGCCTACCTAACTGACAGAAGCTCCCCAGAGACTCAGACAGGACTGCGCATCAGCCCCACGGCCAGAGATCCTCTCGCCTGGAGCTTCCAAGGACTGAGACTACCCTCTGAGTCACGGGCAGTACTGACTCCGCCCCAGCCTCCCCTGCCCCCTCACCAGATTATTCTTCGTCTTGGCCACGTTGGGATCGTCAGGGCCGAGGCGGGATTCGTAGATCTCCAGGGCGCGCCGGTAATAGTACTGGACCTCTTCGTATTTGCCCTGGTTCTGGCACAAGAGCGCCAAGTTGTTCAGCTGCTTGGCGACGTCTGGGTGGTACTTCCCTAGCACCTGGCGGGGGAGGAAGAACAGGTCAAGCCACGGCCATGGAAACAGAACCCCCTACACACACGCACACCCAAGCCCAGGACTGACCACTCACAAAGCATCTTATCAACACAGTTATATGAATGGCAATTGGTCACACTGGGTTTCCTGTGCAGTGAACCCTCCCCCCATTCTCACAGCATGCATCTCTTGGTCACACTGGGTTTCCTGTGCATTGAACCCTCAGATCCCACAGAATACATATGAGGAATTGGTCCAAACTTCAACAGCTGTCCCTGTTGTAACACCGCCACCCCAAAATCTCTCGCATATCTTTGTGTATCTCTTGTAGTCCACAGGCCGGCTCCCCTCCACCAGGAATCTTCCACCACCCCCAGGGGCAAAGGGAACGCCCTCCTCCTCCTCCTCGGGACTCCCCACTCTCCAAGAGCGAAGCCGGCTCGCTCTCCCACGCACCTTCTCCCGGATCTCCAGCGCCCTCTTGCACAGCGGCTCCGCCTCTTTGTATTTGCCCCGTTTCCCATACAGCACGGCCAGATTATTCAGCGTGGGGGGGGGGGGGGGGGGGGGGGGAAGAGTCTCTCCGTACATTGCAAGAACTCAGAAGGCGACACTATTTTTGTCCAGCAAACCCCAGGAGCCTGCCTCCCCAAAGAAGAGGGAAGTCAGGAATCCTGGATGACCTCTGATTCATTCTGTTAAAAATGGAAGAAGCGATTTCCAGTCTTCATCATTGTGGAAAGACCGGAAATGGGTTCCGATACAGGCTCCAAAGTGAGGGGTGGCGTGAATGAGTCGGGGTTGCTGCTCAAAGTAGCAGGGCTTTACACAGCACACCTTCCTGACCATCACAGAAGAAGGGGCCGGCTGGGCAAGACCAAAGGTTCATCTAGTCTGGTAGGCTGTTCCCAAAAGCACTCAAGGGAGATGCTTCCGGGAAGCCTACAGGTAGGTCCTGAAGGAAAGAGCCCTCCTTTATTGTTTGCCCCACAGCACCTGGCATTCGGTGGTATACTGCCTCTGAAGCGGGAGGTTCCATTTGGCTTGCAAAACCACAGAAAGATCTAATGATGGGCCTTCCTCCCAGCAGAGCCGGCCCCAGCTTATTTTGCACCCTAGGCGAGGATCCCTTCTGGCGCCCCCCGTCCCCCCCCACCACCATTTTTCAAAAATAAATGCATTTTAGGAAGAATGAAAAACACAAATAATCAAGAAACTCCCAGAGTACGGGGCCGGGTGCAGTTTGGCGCCCCTAAGGGCCAGCCCGCTCTAGGCGATGGCCTAGTTCGCCTAGTGAGTGAGCCGGCCCTTCCTCCCACAATAGGGTTTGTCCGCCGAACATGCAAGCAACGCCTCAGACTCTTACAGCAAGCTACAATCCAGCGCGGACAGATTACTGAGATCATGGAAGCGAAATTGCGCTGAGTATTCTGAAGCCGTCAAGACATCGGAGTCAACAGCCGCTGCCTCCACATTCAAGGGCACTAAGCCCCTGAATCCCAGAGGCGGGAGGCAACATCCGGGGAAGGCCTCAGCCTCTAGGCCCTGCTGTTGTTGGTGAGGAACCAGTTGGCCACTGTGTGAGACTGAATCCTGGACTAGATGGGACTATTGGTCTGATCCAGCAGGGCTCTTCTTACGTTGTTTATGTAAGATTTTCAGGTTACAAGCCTTCAAAAGTCAAACCTCCCTTCATCAGATACCAAGGGATCTTTGACCTATACCCCGGAAATTTAGAATCATAGAGCTAGAAGGAACCACCGAGGTCATCTAGTCCAACCCCCCTGCAACCATGCAGGAAATTCACAAATACCTCACCCTCCACACACCCCGTGACTCTGCTCCACACCCGGAAGGCGACAAAAAACCTCCAGGATCCCCCAGCCAAACCGGCCTGGAGAAAAAATGGCTTCCTGGCCCCAAAGTGGCGATCGGCATTTCCCTGGGCGTGCAAGAAAAAGGCCACGAAAACTAAGCACTGAGGCAGCCCTTTCTGCCCTCCCTCTCTTGATCTGCCTGAGTTCACAGGACCAGTCTTTAAGGTCTACTGCACTCACATCACGTTGACTATCACAGGTGTGCTTCCCAACCCCACCTTCATCCCTTCCACAGCAGCACATACCAAAAACATTCCACGCTAGGATGGGCAGGGGGGAAAAAACCCCTAAAAACAGTTTTGCCTGAACTGGGCTATTTGCTCTTATCTTGGAACCTTGACAGGTTCTTAAAGCAGAACCTCCTGAAGGCACCTGGTATTTCTGGCCACTGTGTGACACAGAGTGTTGGACTGGATGGGCCTTTGGCCTGATCCAACATTGGCGTCTCTTATGTTCTTATGTTCAGAGCCGGGATTCGGTGCGGCGCTTACGGCAGGGTGGTCCTTCCCCAGGGTCTTCTCCCGGATGGCCAAGGCATCGTTGAGAAGGTGAGCTGCCTCCTTGTACTTGTTCTGGTCCCTGGCGAGCAAGGAAACAGGTCATTCTCCCTCCTCTCCCAGAAAAAAGACCCACCTTTGAATGTACACCACAAGCCCACAGCACAGTCTTGCCTCGACTGTATCACATTGGACTGTGATTGCGGCGTGAACCAGGCTTGAACAATACCAGAAGAGGAAAAGCTAGCATGTTAAATTGTGGCTGGGCTCAAGCTCCCCCCCCCAGCTAGATTTCTGCATGCACCAAGTTTAAGGCACCAGGGCATTCAGATATGCAAAAATCACTCCACCAGCAGGAGTTGAGGCTCAGTGGCAGAGCCCCTGCTTGGCATGCAGAAGGTCCCAGGTTCAATCCCCGGCACCTCCACAGTTAAAAGGGATCAGGTGATGGGAAAGGCCCCGTAGCCAGGATTTTTAAATTTGGGAGGCCTTTAAATAAGTCGGGGGGCACCCCCGCACACACAGCCCAAGCGAGCAGTCCTGCTCCCGCCCTTCCTTGCAACTCAGGCACGCTGAGATGGACGTCTCTCCTGCCGGGAAAGGGGGACGGAGGGAAGGCGGCGCTGAGCAGAGGCTCTTCCACCGAGCCACAGCCCTTCCAAACCCTTTCTTCTTCAAGCATCTTGGGATCTGTAGTTCGATAAGGGTGTGAGCTTGCCCTATTCCAAAGCCCTAGCCTCCCATTACGGAACTACAGTTCCCAGGAGGTGCTGGGGATTGAACCTGGGACCGTTTTTAAAAAGTGAAGGGCAGTGTTCCCTCTCAGCTGAGCTAGCTCACTTTTTAGCCTCTGGCTCACAGATTTTTGTCTTTGCTCAGGAAGGAGGGCTCCAGAGCAGACTAATTTATGCAGCAGCCAAACCGCTCGCTCACAGCTTTAATGCCGGCAGCTCACAAAGTAGAATTTTCGCTCACAAGACTCCACAGCTTAGCGGGAGCGCTGGGGAAGGGCAAGCCCAGCAGAGGAGGGAAAGGCGAGCCGAAGCTCTGGACGCTGCTCGGGGAAGGGCAGCCATGTCACCCACACGGTGGACAGGGCGAGGGAAGCCATTCTTCAGGTCGCCATTCTTATTGAAGCTGCAGCTGTTCCAGCTCCAGCTGGAAGATGCATGCTTGGGAAAGGGGGGGGGCCACAGGGAGTCCTCCAGGCAGCCCAGAGAGTCAGGGGGCCTGGGCTGGTAGAGGAACTTGTGGGGCCTCGGCAGAGAGTGTGTGGGGGGGGGGGGCCCCGACATAGCGGCGGGCCTGCCCCAGCCTGAGGCCCTAGAGAGTCACTGCCAGATAATACTGACACTGATAGACCAAAGGTCTGATTCAGAAGATTCAAGAGGGAATTGGATAAGCATGTGGAGCAGAGGTCCATCAGTGGCTATTAGCCACAAGGTATAGATAGGGGCTCTGGGGCAAGGGATGCTTTGTCTTCTTGGTGCTTGGGGGGGGTCAACAGTGGGAGGGCTTCTAATGTCCTGGCCCCACTGGTGGACCTCCTGATGGCACCTGGTATTTCTGGCCACTGTGTGATACAGAGTGTTGGGCTGGATGGGCCTTTGGCCTGATCCAACATTGGCGTCTCTTATGTTCTTATATGGAGCAGAGGTCCATCAGTGGCTATTAGCCACAAGGTATAGATAGGGGCTCTGGGGCAAGGGATGCTCTGTCATCTTGGTGCTTGGGGGGGGGGTCAACAGTGGGAGGGCTTCTAATGTCCTGGCCCCACTGGTGGACCTCCTGATGGCACCTGGTATTTCTGGCCACTGTGTGATACAGAGTGTTGGGCTGGATGGGCCTTTGGCCTGATCCAACATTGGCGTCTCTTAT